CATGGCTATGCCAATCAGTTCGATTTATTTCGTAAAAGGTTCTTTCGTGACTTATTTTGTTCTTTTCGGAGAACCATTTCGCACAACGTAATAAAATCTTACTTTCGTATTTGAAACAGCCAAATAAAATACCGTCATTTTCCGCCGTAGCGTTAACAGGCGCTCACGACCTTTATAACGGGCGCAACATAATCTCTGTGTATCCTTTCCTGTCTCGCAAATCGTCTTTGCATATTTAATTTGATCCTCGATGCATATATCGCGTCCCAAGGACAAGTCGTCGGCGCAAAGCTTAACAGCGAGATATGGTGATCGTCTTCTGGATGTAAAAGTAATTGGGAAGTGCGGTCCGAAGAGAGTTCGTTCCCGACACAAACATTGACGGTAACGATGAGTAGACAAAGATTCGGGAAACAATGACGAATGATGTTTTCTGCCTCGCATTCTGCATTTAAGATGGATGTTCGAGAAATCACTAAACTTTCTACAGACTCAAAGATGCTCGGTAGAAGCACTCTACAATCGCCACTCTTGACATAATTCACATTCCGCAGCCAATAACCTTGGACAGAACCAAAGTTGAGGTCCTTGAGAAACAATGAATTGATGACAAAGTTGATGGGAAGTGAGTCGTGGCTCGAATGTTCAGAAGACCGATATCGCTTCAAAACCTCTTGCCTGGATTCGATACAAGTTGAAAGAAGAGGGTGTGGAGTTGTGTTGCGAAAGCTCCATGACGATGATCGCTGCTGCGGACTGGAAGCTGTATTCACGGAGGTCAAAAGCTCGAGCTCTACTATATGAGGCTCCTGAAAAGCAAACGTCCAGATCTGAGCGCGGAGTTCAAGTGGTAAATTGCGAAAAAGCGAAAAGGTCGTCAACTTTGGTAAAGATGATCCATCCAAGATGCTGTGCGAGCATATATCGATAGAATGAATGTATCTAGATGCGATGATTCGACGCATACTCCGCGTGATTGGGATGTGCTCCGCGACGGAGGTCTCTATTGAATGTTTATAGATACTCATCTCCAAGGATATACACATATGCAAGCAATGCGACAGTTTTGACAATTGAGTGTTATCAACCGGAAGTTTAAATCAAATAAGAATCCTGAGAGGAAAGATGGAGTTGTAACCTAGGTAACATCAGGAGAGCAAGAGCTTGATGTCAACCAACATCCAAGTGGGCCTTCCATCTTAAGCTGGAAATGCGCGCGTAATGAGACCATCCTTCATGGAGGCTTAATTCGACTTCGGAAGCTCAACATCCCTCGATGGGACCGTTAAAGCAAAGATGGAAGGTTCTTCATCATCGGTATCTCTGTTCGTTTGCGGATATCTATCTGCAAACGTATGAGGAAAGCGCAGTCGAACACGAAGAAACGGAATGCGCAAAGTCTTAAAATGTTAATTGAAAATATCCTAAAAGATATCATTCAGTTCAATATCATACTATGAATGGATAAAACTTAGAAGAAGAGACGGATGTTCAAGAGGTTGGGGTATCACAAACCAGATCAAGTCTTAAAATAAAGTATGAAGTTATTTATATTTATGATGACTAAGCTACACAAAGTATGTAGATCTTGTTTAACTTACTACACCTTCAGATCAAGAATTTGCACGCAAATTTGATCTCACTGGAAAATTTTATTTTTCTATATCTACACAAGCCTACAGAACATCACTTTAAAGCATCAATCATTTGTATTCTACTCTGGATCGTTTGTCGCCTTGACAACAATCACCCACTTCGAAATCTATTCTCTGTAAGTTCCTGGGGCTTCTGGAACTCGCTCTCGTATTTCAATACCAGATCTTTGGATTAAAATGGATCAGGGAAGTCGAATTAGCTATAACGTAAGATTAGAGGCGATGACATGAAAGCCCTGGAGCATATAATCGAGTCAGATAAGCATGTTCCTGGACAGTCCTTTCGAATCAAGTGGTCGTTGTTGTTATCGGTGGCATACCTGGTACATTATTCAAACTGCTTCACTCAGAACCAAAAGGCAATCTCGTCTTTTCTCTTCCCACCACGGTCATGATTTTGAAATTGGCTCTGAAGTTCCAGAAGGTATCATTGGGTAAAGACAGTTCTGTAGCAACTCCCTTGTCCTGTTTCAATTCAGACTCTCACACCTCACCATCCTATGTCTCTTCGGATGGTCATGCCATATTCACTTTTTCAACCATACAAAAGCAATTTTCAGTGAGCTTTTAGTGGAGCAAATCCAATATCACCAGACTTTGAGCAGATCACACCTGTTCTCTTCCTGGCATCTCTTTTCGATTTCATACATCAATTCTCTTTAGTCGCCAAAATCCTCTCTCCAAAAAAGGTCCAAAGGACGAGGTGTTCCAGTAAGCACAAGATGGAAAGAATAAAAGGATTCAAAATAGCAAAAGTTCAGGCCCCAGTTTGGGGCCCTACATCTTTGTTGACCTATTTCGCGGTATCAATGACTCCGAAGGGATCGAATGCTCCCCACAAAGATACCGCGCGCACCTCGAGTTGTCGTATCTAACCGTTAAGCTAGAGTGCCGTGTTGTCATACCACCAATTGACGAGAGGATATGCGATCTTTTTGATTATATTTGAGAATTAGGCGAGATCAGTATTGAAATACAATGGCGCGAGAAAGTGGCATTGATGTTCAAAAGTGAATATCGGAGACCAAAGTTTGGGTCAAGGCAGTCAGTTCTCTTTCCCAAGGAAAAATATTGTGGCCACCGCCCGCACTCAGTTCAATACGTGTACATCAATAACACGGTCAACGTTGAAGTGGACATCGATGTGATACAACTCTCTGTTAGAGAAATCTTCCGACATTGGTGTCTTTGGAATCACCTTGATTGCTTTCTGCAAAAGGCATATGTGAAGATACCTGTACCGAAACGCGGCGACCAGAACATCGATTAATAAGTAGATCATGACGGAGATTATCTCTTGGATCGCGATCTCAGCCACAGGAAAAGGACTGTTGTGACTTGAAAACTCATTCAGGATCCTCTCCAGCGGAAAATTTCCAGTTTGCCAGCAACCTACCTTGTCAATCATTTCATCAATAATTCGAGAGACTCTGGGGCTCAACGCAATTATCCCAATCTCTCCAAAGCACGCCTTGTTTTTTTTTTACGATGACGACTGGAATGTTGATTTCAACGAAATAGAACCTCTTCAACGTTGGTCTTGCGATGTGGAAGTAGCATGTGGATGGCTTCACAAAGATACATAAATTCTTTGATGTGGTTATGCACTCAATTATTTTTCTCCATCAAACGCGCGATGCCCAATTGAGTGTATGTTTCTTGGTGTGATAGAAATCAACTTTTGTTGATTTTTGAAGCTCCAAATCACCGATGTGAAGGTTCAGAGGTTACAACACTCATTGTTGCACAGTCGTTTCAAAACTTTGGTTTGAGCCTATTGTCAGGTGAGGAGATCAAAAGCTATAACCAGCTTGATCTCTAACCAAATATCTATCGCACCCGTTATGTTCATCTGATTTTTCGGCAGTGCAGTGCAAGTAAAGTTATTACGAGATAACAAACATGCACCAAAGTGGTACGCAAGCATCTCAATCATAACATTCCTCAACTATCAACCAAATTCCAAATCCACACCCTCATTTTCAACAAAAAAATCCGCCAAGCATAGTTTGTTTCCACACGCAAGCGCACAAATAATCTCCATTTGCACTCACAACACCGCTTCTATTAAATCGCCATAACCCAAGTCTTGCAACCATAAAAGCCGATGATCTCCCTATCTCGTGATCATTAAGCCTTCGCCAAGACCAATTCAGCCGGCACTTAATCAAAACGGATAAATCTCATTGGTGGATCTCTCGATTGCTGCCGAATTCTCCTGCACACATTTTCACGTTCAGGCACAGATAGTTATGGTTGTCAAATGAGGGGACCCGCGCCAAAAATCTGGGGTATACCGAATCTGCAACATGAGCGAAGATCTACCGAGTGCGGGGTTTGCGACTGGTGGTTATATTTTTCATTTTTCGGACGAAGAATAAGCTTAACATGCACGATGAAGTTTCCGTCTTGGCGTTTTGCTTAGATGAATATATTGTTAAGGTGGGTTGCTCGGGTGGAGATGGTACGAGGAACATGGGAAATTTTTGGGATCGTTTTGGCGCCTGGAATTGGAGGGCCTCACTCTGGACGAAATAAACGGCACACCGAAAAAACAGTGTTATTTCCAAAATTATCTATTTAAATCAATAATCGATATTTTTAATTTTTGTTTGAAGCAGATTATTTATAAATTGATATTCTATAATATCATTTTATTATATCTAGTTTACTATATTATTTCAAATTATTATTGAATTTTGAATTAATAGTGTTTTGAAGAAAGTCTTGATTTTGGCGGCTTTGGTGTGTCCGTTTTTCCGTCCAGAGTGAGAGGGCGTCCAGATGCGGATTTGTAAGTGGAGGTGTATGCGGATTTCGGTGGCTCGCGACCTTGAGAAAAAGCCGTCCATCAAAATTCTATACCTTAATCAAAATTCAATATCAAAACAATAGATTCAACTTTTTAATTGAAATCATATCTATTAATAATTTATTAAAGAAAGATTCTAAAGCTTCAATTTTCAGAATATTATAAAATATAGAGAAATTTATATTGAATTTTGAAAAAGATTACTTCTAGATTCTCTTTTATTTTTGCGGGGTTGGTGTTCGGCTTTTTCTCGAGGTCGCGAGGGTGGCTAGCAAAAAGTAAATTTGATTGAAGGGGAAGGGGAACTCGGCGCCGAGAATCTCGCTCGTATTGAGGGGGCCAGATGGAGAAATTGAACATGGAGGTAGATAAAGACCATTACTTTTATGTTTCCGCATGATGGGTCGAAGGTTAGGAAAACTATATAAAGAGAAGAAGATCGGCTCGAAAATCAAAAAGCTTGGCTCGAACAGCATCTGTCAATTTTGCAGCAATTCTTGGCATCGATCTCATACCATCCCAAATCATTCATCATGAAGACATCCGTTAAAGCTCTGCTTTCCTTGCTCGCGGCTCAGGTATGCGCAGTGCCAACTTTGTATTTGGCTGGTGATTCCACCATGGCGCTTGGTGGCGGTGGAACTAGTACTCAAGGTTTGTGCTTTTGTTTTTCATCCTAGACGTTATATAGGAGTGTGGGAAATTTGTCTAACATATCTTGTGTATAGGATTCGGTGAATACCTTAAATACAGTTTCACCGGTATCAACGTCGTGAACAAAGCCGTTGCCGGACGATCCGCCCGCTCATATTGGAATGAAGGAAAATTTGCTGCATTGGCCGATTTGGTTGTTGCCGGCGATTATGTTCTTTTGTATGTCTTCAATGATTACCTCTTTTTTTATCGATGAACATCTGCTAATTCAATTATCAGCGAGTTTGGCCACAACGATGGAGGCTCTTTGACCACAACTGATAACCTCCGTACCGATTGCTATGGAGGCGGTACCGAGACTTGTATCTCTCCTGTTACAGGGGAGACCGTGTATACATACGTATTCTACCTCTTACAAGCAGGGTATGTTTCTCTCCCCTCGGCATTTTCCAATTCTCCGTTTCCGCAGCCCTTACCCCATGAATGAAAATCACCAACTCAACTAACACTCCTTCCAGACGTCTCATAACCGCCAAAGGTGCACACTTGATCGTCGCCTCGCCCACCCCCAACAACTTATGGGAAACCGGCACCTGGTCCTACACCTCCCCCCGCTTCACCGGATATGGGAAATCCGTCGTCTCTTCTCTTGGCTCGCTGGCCTCCTTTGTCGACCACGGTACGTACGTTGCGAATATTTACAAGTCGCTTGGTGCTACCACCGTCGATGCGTATTATCCAGTCGATCACACGCATACTAGTCCCGCAGGCGCAAATACTGTGGCCGCTGCGTTCATGAAGGGACTTATGTGTGGAGGAAGTGCGTTGAGTGCGTATAGCAAGAATACCACCAGTAGCATTGCGGGAAGCTGTGTTTAGTTTGGACGATGAGGAGCATTTGGGTAGTATGAAAAAGACGTGTTGAGGTGGGGGATCTGAAAGGGAAGATTCTTTGTATATATGTACATATTCTATATTCAAATCTATATCTCTTTCCAAACCCATCTGCGTAAAACTCCTCTACCCATAAATCATCTACCTATAACTCCTCTGTCTATACCCAACAGTGATCTATACCTTGGTGTTGACAGGCAACAAGCCCTTCGCCATTCTCTGAATCTGTGACGAATAATACATGCTTTGGAAACCAGCTCCGACCTGTTTAACAGGGAAGTGGCGAATCAAAAATGGCGGGGAGAGTGGTTTAAGAGTGATGTTTGCTTCCTCATCAGGTACGTCCTTATTGAGGATAATCTCGTTTGGCAATTTGGGAATGACGGCCGCGGGTCGGGCAATGCCAATGAGATCACATCCTCCCGATTTCAAAGCCTCCTCCATACCGACTCTTGTGCGGAAACCTCCAGTGACCATCAGGAGGACAGAAGGAAATTGTTTGCGTACTGTTTGGGCAAATTCGAGGAAGAAACTTTCGCGAGCAGAAGTTGTAGGGGCTGAAGAGGGCTCACCCATCATACGAGGATTCTCGTAGCTTCCTCCAGAAATCTCGATGAAGTCGACTCCGGCTTCAACTATGCACCTGATTTGCTCCATGCTATCTTCCAATGACTCGTTGGATGCAGCATCCACACTGTTCACCTTGATACCGATGCAAAACTCCTTACTCGTTTGCTTTCGGACTTCGTTGATGATTCTTACTACGACTTCAGCTCTCTTTCTGGCTGTGCCACCAAACTCATCGGTCCGGAGATTGGACTTAGGAGACAGGAATTGTGCTAGCAAGTAGCCGTGTCTATAATTGAATCAGTAAGAGCAATCCCGAAGGAGAACAAAATGTTAGGGGACAACTTACGCGCCATGGAGTTCAACACCCTTGAATCCCGCCTCGAAACTTTGCTTCGCAGCCAATACAAACTCATCGATGACACCGCCCGGTCCAGAAATTTCATCAATCGTCAGTTCACGTGGTGTGCCGAACAGTAACGCAGCAGCGGCCCGTTCCAAGAAACTAGTTCCAAAATTTATTGCTACGGCGGAAGGAGCAACAGTTTTTGAAAAGAGGCCGCGATCGCCAGCCCCAAGGGGTGATTGTCTACCAGCATGACATATTTGGACTATGGTTGGTGTTCCAGAGCGTTGGGACGTTGCAGCCCATGATTTCCACATGGCTTTGGTCTCTTCTGTGGGTTTGGGAGTGCTAGCTACATCTTTATTGCTTCCGAGATATTTGGAAGACACTTGAATGTTTCCTATTATCTAGATTAGTGTTTGAATACTTGAAGTTGGTCGTCATGCACTCCTGATTCGTACCTGTCATTACCATTCCCCATCCACCGTCAGCCCAAGTGCCATATGCCTTCAAAAAGGATTCATCGGGAACGTGAGTAGTTGACATAGCTTCAGCCATTGCACCCTTTGAAATTGTATTAGCATTATGGATGTAGTAGTGATAGAATTTTGATGGATGTTTCATACCTTGCAAAGACGATTTGGCAGAGTCAACCCACATGGCAATGTGATCTTCTCGGAAAGTAACATGATGAAACGGTTCTTTTAGATTTTGGATATACAAGTATTGCAGTATTTGTTATCTTGATTGGATTCATCTTTTTTCGAGGATTTTCAAAGTTTTATATAGTCCCAATCACCGAGGTGTACCCATCGTCTCTTGAAAGGAGGGCCGTGAAATGATTTGAAAGCACCATATCGTCGGACTTTGATCGGATAGATAATTGAGCCGACTTGGAGTGGATCATAGAAGTAAAAAAATTGATAGTGATATCATATCAGCGTTTGAGTTTTCACGACGACAACAATGCGAAGAAATCATGACATGACATGACATGACAATGGATGAAAATGATGGGTTATGTCAACAGTGTGCATAATTTATGTGCATGCAGTTGTCAGCTCGTTACTCCTAGTAGGCTTTCGGGTGAATTTAAAATGTACTCCATAGGCTACGAGGCTACCTACCTACCCGCCTATACGAAAGAAAGCGAGGACGGCTTACTAAAGGTGCTGACAAACCTTCCCTTGCACCTCCAACATATGAACGAAACACAACAAAACAAAATGTCTTCCCTCAGTCTTGGTAATGGAGCAATCGATTACTACATTATCCATATTTTCCATATTATCAGGAGTCGCGCTCCATTTATATATATCATTGAATCTTCCCACATTTCTTCAGAACACCAATTCAGTTACATAATTGCTTGATCTAGGCAAGCATAATTGGATGATGACACAAACATCAAATCCTGGTTCAAAACCCGAGGCTCTGGAATGCTCCATCTAGCTAATTGAGGCTATCTTTTTGTGTGCCATATTGCTAATTGCATTCCACTCCATCGTGGACTATCTCTCAACGGCGCACTGAATGTCATGATTAAATCGACAAATCCGACCATTTTGTTGCAAATATGCAAATATGGAGAAATTTGGTGGGAGAACACATCGCTGGTATGAGTTACAGTATGGCCAACGATTGCAACACGGTTATTGTTGATCTACCTAGGTACTGAACATTGATCTGTCAACCTTGGTCATCCTACCACTCTAGCATTCAACTTCAAGCCCACAACTCACTAAAACATTGGCTATTTCTGCACAGCCGTGTCTTTTCTCAGAGGATGGAAGAGACTTGATTTCTCAAACTAGGCATTGGCAGAGATAGAGACGGCTGGACAGAAGCACATGGGTGATGAGGATGCATGATTTTTGACTCCTCTGCTCACCACCACATACTTTGTCGATGGCCAGAAGACTCACTGCATCGTGCTTCATATATCCACTTTCATTGATGTATTTTACAATCTGTTGGTGCTTGCTAGGCGTCGTAAATTACAGGGGTTGATTTCGCAGTGCGCTCTCAATATAGTATGCCCCACATCAGCATCAAACTCAACACCGATTGAGCGCAATCATTCTGGGAAGGAAAATGGTTCATCAAATACCTCGTGTCAGCCTGAATGCGCCGCAAATTCTCATTGCGGGATCTCTCACGACTCGGGTCCATATCGACGGTCTGAATTCATGTTAGAATACCAACGGCGGCCGTTCGCCAACCATTGATATTCGATAACAAGGCGCCAGTATAAGTCTATGAAAGGATTCGGGTCGAATCTTCCGAACGTTTCTTATGCCGCATGATCCACTAGACAAATGAATGATCTACACAAGATCTATTCCTATGATTGATGACTTTGGCATGTGGAATGCAGGCTGTGTATTCCGGGTTGTTGACCGGTTCCACGCTGAAGAATTGCGGCAAAGGAGGGGGGCGACAGTCCTCAGCTACACTCGTGGCCGATGTTTCCAGCCGAGCTGAATGTGAGAACGAATCATTCTGTCACAATAGCCGTACTTGATCACCGTCAGACTGGTTTACACGACATCACTAGCCTGTGTGACATTCCAAGCCTTGTCAGCATGCAGCTCGTGCTTCCTTCTCCACGCTTACTGCAGGACCATTGTGAGGGCTTCGAGATCTGTCCACAATCTGTTACTGAGTGTTCCACGCCAGATCTGCCACGCGACTTCCACGCTACGATACCTTGGCTGGACATTAACGCTGGTCAACACTATAAACCGCTTGTAGTTCGGATTCCGAAACCGAATGAAAGGAATATACGACAGGAACGAACCCCGAGTCAAGAACTTTGCTTTTCTCTAACTACATTGATGAATTTAATACACGAAATCATCTAATCGCAAGTTCCTACCTCAACAACAATCTCGAAAGCTAGACTCGGGTCAACGATCAAGAGGTTCTTTTTCTGATGTCGTGACAATCATCGTATGATTGTTCCAAAGACATGAATTTGCACCAACGCATACTTGCGAGATTGAGTTTAGAATATCCACAATTTCTCCAATCTCGAGCAGCAGCTATCTCCAATAGGATATGTTTGGCGAGGCTGGGGAAACGGTTTAAGAGTGGGCGTTTGTGGAAAGTAATTAGGCAGACATTATAATTCGAAATATTCAGAAGATACTAGCGCCAACAAGTTAACGATACAGACGAGAATGGATCACAGAAAATGGGTTTCTTAGGCCTAGAAATAAAGTCAAACAGCTTGCCGAAATATTGGCAGCCTCATTCCTAACCAATAAAGGACTTCAGAGCCTCCAAAGGGATAAGCCAAGCGGAATATACTTCTCAGCTTCTGATTGCTAGGCATATCGTCTCCGTGGTTGCGTTCACAAGCTAAGTACCAGATTATTGTAGGTACCTCATATTGTCTTTTGTATACATTCCAATTTGCACAAACACGGGCGGATTTTACAAAGAGAAGTGATTGTTTGTAACACATCCTTTTCTCAAACTATTTCTTCACAGTACTCCTCGTGGGTATATACATACTCCGTATCTCCATTGAATTTCTACTTCCCTTCTCGGGAGTCTTGCCGCTCGAATGCATAATTGCGCGTGAAATATCGTCATTTCTTCAGAATATGGTGGGGGTTCGAACAAGTGTAGAGGAAGATGTTACCCAGCGCGGGTGAACTCCCAAGTTTGGATTTACCCCAGATGGCGTAATGCCATTAATCTGGTAACGTTGATATCTACAGTCAATGATGATTGTCTGTCTCAACTTATCACCGATGACGACCTTTCACCGGCAATCTCCTTCAAAGTCGTTCATGTAACTCTGTACCGTTATCGTACCACATGAAATCCGTGTATTTTTCGTGGCTTTTAGGCAACTGCAATGATCTATTTTTGGGATTTTAAAACCTCTTGCCCGCCTTCAAAGATATAGAGACGGGTGTTACCAGCCCGTCCATGGCTAATGCAGGAGGCACAAGATGATTTACGGCGCTATAAGCACTCAAAGCATACGGCCTCTCAAATTGTATAGTATACAAGTAGATGAATTTGATTTCAAAGCTAATTCCGGGATCTACACCCAATC